TACACAGACACAAAAAAAAAAAAACAAAAAAAAAACACACATCATTGTAAAATCAATACATTCATCACTTCGTTCAGAATCTAATAAGTACATTAAAAATGACATTATAAAAAATTGAGAAATTAAACTTACTATTATTATCTACAAGAATTTTAATGGTATGTAGGAAGTTTTTTTACTATGTGACTGACTTATTGCATATAATGTTTCTATATTTATTTCGTGATAATTACAAAATATATCATTTTTATTTTTATGCACATATTATTTCACTTTACATATATATACCGTTCACGCTAATGAAATGGCCTCCAAGTCTTCTACATTGGGTTATATTTTTCAAGTCATTATTAGATTATTATTTTTTAAGCTTCACTTTGATATGTTATTTTGATTATTGCCTGTATCTACACTCTAAGAGTCTTGACTCATTAAGACTTCATAACAATGAATATACATACGAGTATACGACAGACACATAGTAACAGTAATATAAACAAGAACTAAGTACAAAATATGCGTAAACATAACTTATCATGTATTCTTAATTGAAAAACTAAAAATACAGAATGGTTATAAAATATATGAGTGTTTAATGTATTATTAAGGCAGTTAATATTATACAACATGTGATAAATTTAAAATAATTATATACTTATTTGAACTTAATAAATATAACGATGTAATTTCTACTCAATATTTTTAGGTAGTTTTGAAATGTAAATAACCTTTTAAGATCTATAGAAATTTCAGGTCAGTCCAAGTTTGGTTAGTTGAAGCACTGTAATGACCATCAATAAAATTATTAGGAAAATTGACTTTAGGTAATAGAAGAATTCAGGATGTATGGTTCTACTAACGAAGTGATTTACGTAGAAGATGAATACGAACATGATTTATAATACCTAGCTAATTATGGGGTTCCTAATATTATGATGCGGTGTTGCAGTAACCGTCTTCTCTCTTTGAATGATGAAATTGGTCACTTATCATCTTCCATCATTTTGATGTGTTCAATTGATAATCCTACGATTCTTAGCTATAGGTGCTACTATCATACATTTTTATATTACAAAATGCATAATACATTATATATTTAAATATTCAATCATTGCTAATCAATGTCCAATTGTATTTTTTTTGTAAAGTACCTTATAACTAAGTAATACATACGTACAATTAGTTATATTATAATGCTTATCCCGTTTTTCAAACACTTAACATATATGACTTTCTCAACCTGCTGTTTATTACCTACTGGTGTAAGGTGTAACCCAATGATTGGTGTTATTTATGAAAAAATAAAGCTAAGACTTCACTTCTTAAAATAATTAGGGTTAGAATTTATAGCCTATACTGGGCAATTTAATCAATAGCTAAATAAATAAATAATTATTTGACATGAGTGACATTCACACTGTAACATTAAATATTAATATTTATGTTACAAGTTGTTAGGTATAAATTGGAATTTATTTCGGAATAAATATGATTGTTATTATTATGTTATTACAAATTCATAATATGTAAAAGTACATTATAATAGTATGTAAAAACATACTCTATTCATACACGTAAAAATGATAAAATTCAAAATACTGATATATGTATATGTTAACGTCGAGCTATTTACGCAAAATAACCTCAACATTTCACACAGTGATTTATCAAAATTTTTAAAAAGAAAAAGAAATACAAAATATGCATATAAGATATAATATATATTATTATTTCATTTTTTTTATAAAAACTTTATACAAACATATTATGTTTTAAAAATACAGTTTGTATAAATCTAGTTAGATCCAGATAAATAAAATAAGAATTAGGTATGATAAAATTTTGTATAAATGCGTATAAATGTATGATAGCTGTTGATATATATTTCTTAAACAATTTCAAACTTCAAATAGTATACATGTATGTAATTATAGACAAAAATAATATCATATAACCAGTAATTAATAATATTATAACGCAACAATGTATTAAATAATATTAAAATTTAAAAATTCAATTTGCGAACATAATTTGTTAATTGTTAAACCTATATATTATTATATATGACTTACATTAGGTATTGTAAGAAACAAAAATGTTGATCATAATGTGTAAAGTGTAAATTAATTAATTGTTACTTGTTAGTCTGCAATGAGCTAAACGCTGAGTCTAATAATAGGAAAAAATATGCATAATGTATTATAAAGGCGATGGATATATCACATAACATGCTATAATATCTTCTTATATTATAATTCAATGATTCTATATAAAATATAAAATATTATTCTATAGTCTATAATTAATTGTTTTCCATATTAATAGAAATACCTGCGTCGAAATAATTAATATTGTGAAAATGAATAATATACGAGTATACAGAAAATCTACTATAATTATAATTTAAAATTAGTAAACATTAGTCATTAAAAAAAATAATTTTATAACAACAGTTGGTGTAATAATATAATTAAAATATGRATTAGTTATATTTTAGTAGACAATTTAAATACAAATGCACTAGTATATTTTGCTAGTGTTAAAATAAAAACAACAATAACTTATTATATTATGTTAATCAAAACGGATGTCTTTCGTTGAGTTTTACATAGACTTTATAATGATAGTTCCCATAACTGGGTAATCACTATATACAAATAAATACTAAATACAAATTAATACTATTATAAGGCCAACACAATTTAATATAGGAATACATTTCCAAAATGTTATTTCTTTTCATTCAAATACACCATATAATATTCTTATAATTTATCAATTTTGAATTTTGTTCAATATATTATTGTAGCATTGCTTATACCCTTGATTCACATTTAATGTATTAATAACAATAACAAAGTTATAAAATGTTCTTAATTTTAAACCATGTTTAAAATGGCTTAGTGACACCCTTCAATTGAAAATTAAAATAATAAGATAGTCTAAATAAATAACAATATTTACCGATACTAATCTTACCAAAACTATTGTAATCGGTCGTATAGAGTTTTGTTTTGTCATTTACATGCACTAATATAGAAATTATATACTATATTGTACAGAAAAATTTACTATTTAAAGGTTTACAAATTTCTCATAATTCTTGTCTACCATAATCGCGTCGAAATATTGTTGAATGAGCTTTAACATAAAATTATTGTTCGTGAACGGCCAAAAAGTGTCCAAGTAACCCACGTGACCACCCCCTGAAGTTACTAATATAGCCAAATTTCCGTGTTTGTCAGCTTCGTTGACGGGTATGTCTAAATAAAATAAAAGATATCATAATATTATAGAAATATAATTTTAGGTATTATGTAAATAGTAATATTATTATTTATTATCTACTATATCTATATTATTATGTATACAAGCAATGAACTAAAAACATAGTCGTAAAATCGATTTTCTGATAAAAATAGTAATTTGAGAAGACCCAATAAAAGAATTACCACTTGGGAGGACCGGGATATTGTTTGAGTATCAATGCTAGACGGTAAACCCAAAAACCTACAATTATATTGAAAGAAAATAGTCAATGACAGAGAGAGAGAGAKAGAGTATCTATACACAATTAATTGTCAGTGAACCACGGGTTTAATCTCCAAGGACGAACACTGACAAATGACAGGTACCTTGTATCTGTATAATAATATGTTACGTGTAATTACGAAAATTGAGTAATGTGAAAACTACCCATCCCTATTGGATGAAGTAAAAATATTATGTAAAAAAATTTATTTTGTAAATGAACTGGCTAATTTATACATTATTTTACTTTGAATGGATAAAGTGTTTTAATAAAATATAATGTTTAAGTATACATTACGATAAAACGTGTGTACAACATTGTATATTTTTAATTTCAGTGAAGGGTGCTATCGGTTTTTTGTTCACTTGTTCCTCTATAATTAAAATTTTATTAGATATTTAATTTATTAAAATTGAAGGTTTTAAAAAATGTCTTTGTAAAAGTAAATGTTTAACAAATAAATACAATATATGTAAATCTGGATGGATACTTTGCAGCTTCAAAAACCATCTGAATTTAACTATTTCAATAAACAACTGTACCTATTTAATTTTACCAATTTTTTCATGCATAAAATAATAATTTAATGATACCTTATTACTTAATAATTTTTTTCAAATTAATATAATTTGGTTTTTCACGTTTTCATGCTTATCCACTCCATAGCCACTTGGATAATGTATACATTATATTTTTCAGAAAGATAAGGTGTACACTACCCATTTTCGTACTCTACTCGCAACATACACTTATCTTACCTCTAAAATAAAGAAAAGGATCGTCCGCTGCACTTAAACACAGACATGGTACGTTGATCAGGTGCAGTTTGTTGCTTAGTGTCGCATCCTCATAATAGTGATACACATTATTGTAGTTAAATATTTTAATGGTGTAGGCAGTGTCAAACTCTCGGATGGTGTTACACTGCAATCATCCAAAATAATATTTTTATTTTAATAAAATGTTCATGAATAGATAAATGTATAAACGTGTAAATATGCTGAAACTAAACTATAATGCAGGTAACTACCTATAATTGTTTTCCAAAAATGTTGTTTTGTAATCATTTAAAATTGTATAAACGAAATATTTTCCGTAATAATGAGAATCTTACGTTAAATACGGATCATCACATACATAGAACCTTATTTAAAATCATAATTTTAAGTTGAAGCGTAGTAAATACTAATAATGCTAATAATACTATGCACATTAAAATATTGAATATAATTTTACTGTGATAATTTATTCTAGTCCTACATACTACATTTATTTGTATTTTTATTTATCATGACATTTATTATTGTATACATTAACAATTTCCAAGGATATAATTCTACATTAATAAATACCGTATTTTCCAATATCATACCTGTTTAATAATGTTGTAATCCAACGATCTGTCATTATCTTGTTTGAAAATAACATCTTTGTTCCTGAAATAAAGTTCATCAAAAACTGTCCATTAATTATCTTAATTTTAGTATTATAGGTAGATTATTGATTTATTGCAATTCATTTACATGATATTATATATTTAAGGCCATATACATAGGGTAGGGATATTAGAGAATAGTATATTGTATTCTACCTATTCCCCATAGCAATTTAACACTCAAAATTACTCACTTAACGACGACACTGCGTAAATGGTGAGACAAGTTTTTACCCATTTTTCGCATTAGCCATGAACCTTCTGCGTTTTTGCAGGCTTGTTTTACATTCCACGGTACTGAAATTAGTATTCCTGTGACCAAGTATTTATTTTTCTCTTGTTCAGATGACATTAAGAATGTTCCCAATAATGTTCTGTTAATTAAATAATAAAGTATGTAACAAGATTATGATGATTTCAACTCATGCGAAGGTGGAGGTTACTAACAACACAATATGCTCAAGAAAGAACGTACCAATAAGAAACAGCCATCGGCATGATTGCCGGTTTTTTTTTTTCAAACCAAATTCTAGTATCATGTTTTAAATTTTAATTCAAGAAAAATTGTCAAACACGAGCAGAAAATATTTCTAAGAAAAAAAACTTAATACAATACGAACCATTATTGTAAAAGATGTAATTTTAACAGTGAATGTGTAAGGTTCAAAAAAGTTTTTGTTTTTGGAAAATGGATAGTACCAATGCAATTGTGAATTCTAACATTTTATATCTTTTCACCCTCAAAATCTGTGTTCGTGACTAAAAGAATCACTCTGTATAAAAAAATCTGAATCAATTATTCTTGTTATCGTCGTTTAATTTAAATTTAAATTTAAAGTTAAAATAATAATAAGTAATAACAACCATTTACAAAACGGGATAAATGTTTAAAAATTTTAAATTTTATCGATACAACTATTGATTATTTTTTATGCTCATAAAGTCATAGCTAATAGATTTTTATTTAAAGCAACGTGTAAAAAGTATAATGATTAGGTAGATACTGATAATAAAATTACTAATTTAAATATGAAAAGTTGTACCTATATTCAAAATGTATTATTATAGTCAACTCATTTTTTTTTTTAAATTTGCAATATTGTAAATTACAAATTGTATGACATGAAAACATACGTACCTAACTAGATATTATTATCGAGACTCGAGAGATATAAAAATCAATAAAGAGTGCTGGACAAATAGATATAATGAATAATAAATTTACCTAGTATAAAGTCATAAACACATACAGAGCCTAAGTGTCTCTTAAGAATTACAATGATCGATTATTCTTTTTTCTATTGTAAAATATAAATATTATAATATCACTATTTAGATACCTTCGTCGTTCGCACTATAAATCAGGTAATTACATGTTTATTTTTCATTTTAAATGACGTAACTAAATTAACATAGGTACTAAAACGTTTTACTTAGAATTTTATTTATTTTTTAATTTTATTAGTTCGTAGGTATAAGTAAAAAAATTACTAAAACACTGAATGCAGGAAAATAACCATACTACAAGCACAATAATTGGAYATTAGTCACACTGTATAAAAACTCTGAAAATGTTTTGGTTTCCAAATTCCAAGGTGTCTTCTGAGGATCAAAAGTAGCACATGCACATGCGACAAAAGTCGTAAAAATCGTATCAAATAATTTTAAAAAAAAAAACATCAAAACGGTGTTTTGGAAACTCTTTTGCAGTCATTCAAACAAACATTGTTGGTACCTTCGGTACGTTCGTTCTCGTTTATAGTGTGTATTACAACTACTGTGACCGTGGCAAGGATGACGACGACAATGTTACCCTCCCATTGAAAATCCTATGCCGGCGATAGGACTGTTTGGCCGTCTGGACTTAACATGTTTCAGCACTTCTGTCAGGTCTTCGATGTTGGTCGCTGAGTACGTTCTGGCAGTCTGTCGAAATACTCGAAATTCAGTCGGTCGMTAATAATTCTAAACTATATAAATGTAGTTGCAGAGATCTCGGGGAGGATAACGATAACGATATTATACATTTTTTATTTGAGCGTGATCGGTTTGAAGCACCCACAGGTATATAACGCTAATTGTGGTCTGAACTCTTCAGGGCGTAATAGATTACGTTTTTTTTAAAACGTTAAGTACCTAAACTTTGTTAAACAAAGTAATCACTTTAAATTAACATTGTATCGGTACTTAATTAATAAGCGGTGACACTCTGCATGTCCGGCGTTGAGTATAGGCAATTATTATGACAACAAAACCTTGAATTTATTTGGGTATAATATACTTTTAAATTAATGGGAAAAGTTTTACGAAAAATGATCATTATTGGCACGTGTAGGTCAAAGATAGGTACATATTATTTACGAGTCTCGGAGTTATATAAAACGAATGTAATTTTAGCACCCCAGATATTGATTTAAGGAAATTATACGAAGAGAAAAAAAATCAATTGTATAAAAATGTATAAAATTATAAAATATATATTCTAACGGTATTTAATAAAGAACTTTTGATGATAAGATATTTCCAGAATAATTGACTAATGTTATGATCTTTATAGAATAAAAGTAAATTTAATAAGTTAAGTGAATACTAAAAATTAATATACTATTCTTATATATTCTTAAAAAAAAGTTAATCATTTTTTATGAATACCTAGCCTTTTTTTCTATTTAATTGGTGACTTCAAAGTTAGACTCTGTGTTTTTTTTATCTAAAATAATATTTATGAATTTTATGCAATTGTACATTAATATCATTTTCACACTTTATTTCGTATACTTTACTAAGTAATTTATTTTACCTTCAATTTTACACCTCCTCGGCCTCTATAATTAAAAACAACACAACAATAGCCTTTTTCATACAGTTCGTTTACTGTTTCTCTGACATATTCAGATTGGCTATCACCTGTCAGTCCAGTGAGTATGATCACAGTGATTAAACTTTGTCGACCTTTAGATTTTGGATACAGCCAGTCTATAGCGAGTTCACCTCCGTCGTTTAACGTCAACATTTCCCTATATATTTTTTATGATAAAATAAAATAATTATTATTAAAATGTTTAGCTTATCTAAGATATACGATTATTATTTTAGTATAATAGGAAAATATAGAAAATACATTTTTAACACTTTGTTAAAGCTTTTGACACAGTAAATTCTCATAGATGTTTTATACAAGTCGGGATTTGGTGAGCCTATTATTTTTCATGGCTTAAATCGTACCTAACGGGCAGAGTTCAATGGGTCAAAGTTTTTGGGCATACAATCAGTGGCGGTTTTTAGGGGGGGGCGAAGGGGGCGCTCGCCCTCCCTTGGATTTTTTTTGTGTCAACTGTTGTGTTCTGTAAGTTATATATGCATATATATAAGTTATATATGCAACTATTATGGAGGGTGAGGGGCACAAAAATTGAAAATAGCCCCCCCCCTTGATGTTTTATCAAAACCGCCACTGCATACAATGCGATCAAAATTCCATCGGGTGTTCCTTAAGAGGAGGCCACTTATCCCCTATTATTTTTTTACTATTTATTAATAGCCTAAAAAATGTAATACCCTCCACCAAGTTCCTCATGTTTGCAGATAACCTTAGAAACTTTAGTCGTATTGACACATTAAGTGACTGCCATTCTTTACAAAGCCACTAGCCAGCTTAGTTCCATGGTTTCCTGGTTCAATTATATTGGATTACAGTTTAATACAGATAAATTTCACAGTATGGCATTCTCTAAAAGTAGGTCTATTATCAAATATACCTATCTCATCAATAGCTCAATATTATTGAAGCAGTAAGTATAAAAAAAGATTTAGGTGTTGTACTCAGTTCTAAACTGAGATATCACCCTCATATCGAAACAATGTGTTGTAAATCTCTAAAGACACTTGGTTTTGTGCTACGATTAACTAAAGAGTTTAAGTTGTCTGCTTATCTCAAGATTATTTACTGTTCCCTTGTTAGATCCCTTCTTGAGTATGCCTCAGGACTATGGGATTCCTGTACGGCAGTGGATTTTTTACTTATAGAACGTGTCCAGAGAAGATTCTTAAGCTCATCAGTGTTTATTCTGAAAGTTAATCATCCACCACACGACTAGGTACCATCCAGTTATGCACAACTCGATCTTATCTCTCTAGTTGATAGAAGAGTTGAGGCTAACTTACTATTTTTACACAAATTAATTGATGGATGTATTGATGCTCCTCCCTACTCGTTAAAGTTGGTTTTAAGGTTCCTTCCCGTCAAACTAGGTCGTCTGCTCCCTTCCCTATTACTTAACATAATACCAATTACCGCAGAAACCAACCAATTTATGGGATGATGCGCCTTGGCAATGAGCACCTTCACTTGTTTAATAAGTACTAACAAATATTGCTATTACAATTATGTGCATCAAAAATTTAAATTTATATGATGTCTCATTATATCATATCATGTGCTTTGTATTATTATTATCTCCATTATTGTACTATGCATGCAATTTCTTGTAATTTCTAGTAAAATTTTCTACTTGCAAAGTCGGATAAGTGTAACACCTAAAACCCACTTAGGTAATATATATATGTTTATTAATTATATTGGGCTCACAACCCGTAATAAATAAATAAATAAAAAATTGTGATTATATTTATACAGTTATTGATTATTATAAAATTAATAACACAATTTACCTGTCATAAACTACTGTAGGTGTAATGATATCTCTAAACAGTGTGGCGAGAACTGTATGCGCATATCCGTTGAACCCATAAATTGAAGGTAAATATTTTTCTCTGACAATAGGTACTTTTTTAATAAGAAATTGCTTAAAGTTTCCATCCTTACAAAACAACATGGATGACTAAAAAATAAATTTACAAGATTTAGTATAATATTATATAATATGATAATAAATAATAATACCCAAATATATATAGGAATAGGACCTAAATATAATAACCAATATATTATATGCATATATACATTATACATATTTAATTTTCAAATTCGTCAATAAAGATCTTATTTTTGCTAGAATTTAGTAATTTATTATTTAATATGGTACAAATTGTAAGTACAGATAAATTTTAAAAATTTCATATTATTTATCATAAATTTAAAGATAATTATCGGAAGTAATTTTTAAAATTGTTTATAAGTAATTTATTAAAAGAGGAATTAATTCTGTATGGTTTTTCAAATATCTTAGGAACACTAGCTAGGAACTTATAATTTAAACTTTGAGTAAGTATATATCTTTCGAAACATTAGGGACGTAAAAATATCAATTTTTCGGTTTAATTATGTATCGTATAATAATAGGTATAATGATTTAAATTTTAGATAGACATCTGTATAAAACATTTTATAATTTTTATTTTCATCCAAATACAAATTAACAGTCAAATCTAATTTACGGTTAAGATGAGATGTATATACAATGTGTTCACGATATGAGGTACCACTTAATATTTCATCTGGATGACCTTGGATTGAAATGGGATTTTCTGGAGGTAATAGGGACTAGGGAGTACCTAAATACACATTGTCAGGCAAAATTCAAATTTGTAACTCTCTCAGTACGCGCATGCGCAATACAACTTACTTTTTTTTTAATCGCAATACCAATTTTTTTATACGGATTTAGGTAGAGTATTTTTTTTTCAAACAATTTTTRTACAAAAATTTTTTTTCTAATTATAAAATTGGCACGTTTTATCTAATAAATTGTTCAAAGTCTCCACCTTGATTTTCCATACATGATTCCAAACGTCTCAACAATTTTCTTGATATTGCTGCTTTTATTTGATCTTCAGTCAAATTATTACATGCCACTTGTATTTAGTTTCCTTGATTATACCTACATAAATATTAAATTTGACCATACTATAACTTTGCCAATTTTATAATTAGAAAAAAACTTTTTGTACAAAAATTGTTTGAAAAAAAATACTCTACCTGAATCCGAATATAAAAATTGGTGTTGCCATTAAAAAAAAGTAAGTTGTATTGCGCGTACCGAAAGAGTTACAAATTTGAATTTTGCCTGACAATGTGTATTTAGGTACTCATCCCTATTACCTCCCGAAAATCCCATTTCAATCCAAGGTCATCCAGGGGAAATATTAAGTGGTACCTCATATCGTGAACACATTGTATATCATACTATAATAAATACAAATTTTTAAATATTCAACTACTGTTATCAAAAAGAAAAAAACTTCTCGTCGAAATGAGTAAATTGTGACCTTACTCATTTTAGAATCTAATCAAATTTAATAGTCAATGACATGAATATAATTGTATGCTGACTAACATAACATGCTACTAACATACTACAACAATACATCATGTCCGAAGTTAAAGGAAGTACTAAATATTTAACAATTGATTTTGTGCTTTGTAAATGATTAATTGTATAAGAAAATGCTTTAATTTTCAACTTTCAATATCTTTTTGTTGAGAAAATAAATCTAATAAGTACTTTAGAAGATTGAAATTAAATATTATAAATTATTAATAAATTTGTTAAATTTATTATTATTTATTTATTGTAGGTACTATTAAATTTTATAAATATCGATGGTAATTTTGTTTGGTCAACAAATTTGATGGGTAATCCACACACKTAGTGATACCGGAATCAAAAAAATATACAAACACAATTTTTTATACATATTTTAAGTTTTAATTTCGACAAAATTAGATACCTATATAATAAAAGAATAACATTCTTTGTTAATTTCGTTATTAATTCAGCCTTGAATTTTTTGTATTACTTATATAGTAAAATATATCAGCACCTTAATGTAACAGCAGTATAAATATATCATAAAATACATTTAGTAATATAATAGGGTGACAACCTGTCTTCACTAAGAATTGTTTTTTATATACCTATACAATGATTTATCATTGAATTAAAATTTAAAAATCATATTTTACAGAAAATTACTCAATGACAAGATACAATCGTTGAAAATTATACCTATATACTATATAGCAAGACATTGGTTTACTACTTTCACTATTTTTTAGAATGGCCTTTCATTTTAAACTTTTTTTATATAGAAGGACAGAAGGTGAGGGTTTGGTTTTAAAAACATTGTTATTTAGATTATATATATATAAATTTTTTTTTTCACAAAATTAAATTTATTAAAAGTTTAAAAAAGATAACATACCGTGTAATCGTCCGTGTTGTAATAAAAAAAATTCAAAAATGTATGCTAGATTGTTATAATATATAACTTATTATGATTACTCGTTGTTCAGTTGAGTCTTGTCACTGGCATAAAATCTAGTGTTTAAAAAATATGTATATAGATGGAAAATAATATTTCCTAGTCACACACTATCTACAAATGTTGATAATGGTGTGATTGGGTTGAGAATGAGATTGAATAGTGGTCTGTTGATCACTCTATACATGACAAAACTAACCAGATTTGTCAGCAATTCATAATATATACCTATTCAATTAGTCATAATTTTTTTTTACGTCTCCGCTACAGAAATATTATTATGCTCTTTAGAAAAGATACCTAACGAGTATTATTATTTCAACTGTTGGCAACTATAACAAAGCTCATCAGTTACAGACATAATTTGCTATGCCATACCTAGATATCTATAATATTATGACAGCAATCTCTGTTTACATTTTTTCTGTGGATAACGCAAAAACATAACTGCAGTCTATATAGACAATTAGCTAATGAAGTATAAAATATCGAATATAACAGATATAATGATAAAAAAAAAACATATTTACTTGTTTAAACTGTACATGACTACAAAGAAACGCCCTCGCACTATACATAATAACGTACGTTAATGCACGTCTTATACGAGTTAATACAATACAAAAAAATTTTAAAAAATTTATCACCGAATGTAGGTAGGTATATGAAATATATTATAAATTAGAATAATTCATTACTTTTTGTATCTAATTACTTACTAATTAGGTATATTATGTACACAAAAATGTCACTTTAAATATATTCTTTAATAATGATAATTCTTAATGAGAGTGTTATGCACCGATTATTATTATTAGTAGTAGTATATAATTTAGCATTATAATATTATTATTTTATGTACAATTTGTGATGTGGGGAAAGGACGCTGACTCGTGCGTACAATATAAAATCGTCCCATAGGGGTGAGTCAGTCGATGTATGTCTGCATCAGTTAAATTTAGTGTATAGTAATTTTTGTCTTCAATAAATATTTTTACTTATATAATTAAACCTATCAGTGTATTATCACATCTCATCTTCCTTTTCGAGAGACTTCTGGATTGACAAACTCAGCGATACCTGGTGTCAACGGATCAACCAGGTGAGTCCATAACAAGAGTAGTTACTTAACAATAGTAGTAGTTCAAACAATTAGTTTGAAAACAGATTTTCAAGATTAACACAAAAATATTATTTCTTTTAAATTACAACCTTATATATTCAGCATAATTTTGTTGCAATTTAATTATAACTATTATGGTTATTATTTATTTAAATCATAATCATTTTTATGGTATAATTAATACAATTATTGTTATAACTTATACAAATTTTAAATGTCAACCTGTAGCTATAATTTAACAATTATTATGATGTGTATAATAAAAAATGAKATCTGCATTTTTCATGAAAACTGTACATTTAATAGTTATTGTTTTAGTGTTAATTAGGTATTTAAAATGAAGATGATGTGCTGTAGGTAGCCATTTTACTAAGGACAAACGTACCTAACTACAATATATAGATTATCTATATCATAAATTTCTTCATCAATTTTATGTTATTAGTTTTAAATGTTTTAATATTTTAGTGAAGCAACTGTAAAGATATCATGCACATTATATCTGTGTTTGTAAGTTGGTAGTTTACGATAAATAAATATTAAAAATGTTAAGCATGCTATGAGCATTTTAATAGTGTAATATTTTACAAACAACATACTTACAGGTATGAATCTCTTAACAATTAAATCATCGTTAAATTCTTAGAATCCAACTAAATACCCAGGTATTGTCCTTACATTTAAGTTTGGCCAATCGATTCAATTATTAAAGATAACAATACAAGATTAGTGACCAACAATCAACATTATGACACACGGGTAATGAGACATTAATACATTATGTTTTTTGTTTTAAAGGATTGATGATTTCAAGTATAAGTTTTTGATATGTAGAACATTAAAGTCTTATCATAGTTGTTTTTTATGTTATGTTTTATCATTATTTAAGGCGATCTTAATTAATAATTAGTGTATTTTAAGATTTTGACTAGTTTGCAATCTAGGAAGCGCGTAATCATAAATTCTTCCCAGCCTATAATTATAGGTACCATATAAGAAATTATTGGTTCTATCAGTGCCAAGTAAATTAACCTTAAGCCTTTCTTATTATGCTTGGCTTGTTGGATGGCCGCTATACTAGAAAGATTGAAAAATCTATGGTCTAGAATATAGCAATAAGTTGTCATCGAAAGTGATAGGTCCTTGTTGGAAATTCTCGTTATTCTAAAACAAAGTGGGGTTAGGTTACTACAAGGCATATAGTTAGTGGTACTACAGGGATAAAAAAAAAGAGTTATCCCTAAACAAAAATTATTGGATTTATTAATGCAATTTAAATGGGAAAGTGAGAGCCATTTAGTTGTTTACCGAAAAATTTACATTAGCTTCAATCCTTCTTTCTGAGTATATCATCTAGATAGGACTGAAGTATTGTAGTGTATAGTCGTGAGAAGTGGCGTAATTACGGGGGGGATTTGGGTGTCGTATCCCCCCCATCATGACCTTTTTTTTTAAGACTGGTTAACTACATTCACCTATGTACTTCTTTATCTAATAATATTATTATTA